AGGTAACAACGGATAAGGATTCTTTAGTTTACGAATGAGCCAGATGTTCGAGCAGTTAGAAGGGTTGAACTATACAACTATGGATATCTGCTCAAAAAGTAGGTCTCTTAAAATATTTACTCATTACCACTCGGGTATGATTTGCTAAACCGGTATCATTTCTCAGAGACATTAATACGATATTTTCCTCCGTCTCATAACTTGGTTAAATACCATGACCACCATCCTCTCATGCATTACGGGTAACCCTGTTTCATGCATATTTTTCTGACTTTAAAACGTGCCTCTTTAATGTGTTCTTTTTCAAAAGCAAAAGCCAGATAACTCTCTTCATTCTTTGTGGGCAAGAAATGGCATGGAATCTAGGTCAACAAATATTACAAAGAACTCAATTCAGAAGAAGAAGAAGCAGAAGCGAAATCTACCCCATAGCCAATAACCATTTTTCTTAAATAAAAGCCTTAGCTGTGGTTTATGTTTTCTGCAAACAAAGCAGCCTAAGAAAAGTGTTTTTTCTGCTGGCCAACATACCCTCTTCCAATCCCGTTTAAAAATAGAAAATAAATATATTTGTGGCACAGAGCGTGAAGAGGAAAACATTTATTATCCTTTTATAACAGTTTTAGTTAGCAATAGTCCTGGGCCTCAATTCTTGTTCTATGAAAATGTGAAATGAAAACTTTTATAAAGGAAAAAAAAAGGTCAAAAAATGTTTATTTAATAGAACATTTTTTTTAATATAACAAGAATCCAGACCCTGGTGTTCAAAAAAAGGCAGCAATAATTTTATTTCAAAATATGCCAAATAAATAAAATAGATACAAATAAATTTCAGGAAAAATTATTAAAAATTTAATTTGAGGAAATAATATTTATTTAATCAAACCAAAAAAAGGAGTTCTGTTCCCATTGAAATTAGGTGCTAAAGATATTTAACAAATTACAAAACACATCACTGCCGCAGTTGTTGTTGTCTTCTTAATATGCATCATAAAAAAACAGTTTTACAACAAATGCAACATGGCGACGGCGGTGGCGGCAACAACTTACATCCGTTTATAGTTCGTCAGGGCTGAACTTCAACCCAAATCAAATGATTCTTCTCTAACTTTTAATTCTATTCTGTCCGCCCAAAAAAATCGAGCAGACCTACTTGGCAGACAAAGCACAAGCCATTGCCATTAAAAATAAGAGAAATTTCTGGCATAAAACTTGAGAAATTAAAAAAAAAAATTATTCCAAATTTGTTTTCATTTTAGGGCAGATATTGTGGCAGCCACAAATAAATCAATATTTTTTTCTATGCTGCAAGTATTGTGTAGTAACATTATTTATTTGATATTATCGCCATCATCATCATCAAATTTGTAGTTTTTTTTGTTTTGTTTTGAAAACTGCATTTGTAAGAAAAAGGGCTGTCGCTTTTAGATATTTGGAACGGAAGTTTAAAAGAAACAATATATTAAGGGGAACATATATCATCGGGTAAATAATATCTATGTGTTAAAAGTTTAATTTTTCCGTTGATTTCTCAAAATTATGGAGAATTCTCAGTCATTGTTGGGAATTTTCCAAAATCAAAGGAAATTTTTAAAAAAGGAAAATGGACTTTAAATTTGCTGAGTAGTACTAAATGTCATACCATATTAGACGAGAATTTCGAAATTTGGAAATGCGAACAAATGAATCACAAAAAAGGGCTAAATGCAGCGCTGCTCCGAAACTCGACCTCGCTTACTAGTTCAATTTCTCTTAGTTTTTTTAAATCATCCTAAAACCCGTATTAAGACATAATTAATAATTTTTTTTGTAATAATTAGATTTATTAATAATTTTGGACATCATATTTTAAGAACAATTGAAATGAATGGATAATTATTAAGAAAAATAGGATTGTTATTTTAGTATAGTATAGTCTCTTTGTGAACTCATGTGCTAGCACACAGTTTGAGCAGTGCTGGCTAAATTTTATGTCTTTGAAATTTCGAATCAAAGTCACACCGTCGTTGATGTTTATACTTTAGATGTGACAGAACTTTTAGATATTCGAACTAAAAGAATACTAAATGCTCCGTGGTATAAAGTGAGCCGGTGAAGCTATAGCTTTTTGTATTTTTTTGTATACATTTTTTGTATACAAATTGGAAATTTAGTTCACTTTTGGAAAATGGGCTATATTGGTCCACGATATCGTATAGCCCCTATATAACGCTTTTTGATGTTTGTAGCCACGTTTTTCAATGAAATTGTCAGAAAATCCACAAAAGAAGCTCCTTCTGAGTACTTAACACCCTGAAAGAGAAATGTCTATATAGGTCCACGATATCGTATAGTCTACATACAACAGCACTCCTCGAAATTCGATATTTTGACGATTTTAAGCACATTATTCACCGAAGTTTTTTCAAATATCGTCTTTAGAATTCGTAAGGGGAACTATAGCCTATCACAAAAATTTGCGTATGCTGGCCCACGTCTTCGTATAACCTCCATATATAGCTACCTCCCTATATTCGGTATTTTGATGATTTTAGCGACGTTATTTACCGAAGTGATTTCAAATTTCGTATTTAGAGTTCGTAATTTGAACTACAGCCTATACCAGAAAATTCAACATTTTTCAACGGATTTTTTTATGTTTCGTATTTGAATATTGTAATGGCTTATCACAAAATTTGCCAATGGAGGTCCACCGTCTTCGTATAGACTCCAAGATTACGGCTATTTTCGGTATTTAAGATTTTAACAGCATTTGTAACGGATTTTATTTTTTTTTTTTAAATTTCTAAATTCGTTGCAAATGGTGGAGGGTGTTCAAGGTTCGGTCCGGCCGAACTTATTACTTTTTTACTTGTTTTAATTAAATGTGTGCCATATATAGGAACCTTTTCGGGCATCACGAATTTATACACGTAGTAGAAATAGTCCTTTTTGGTGCATATAGAGCAGGGCTAGCCAACCACTACCAATACAAAAGCTTTGATTGTGTATGGTTTACAGACACGATCATCGAGAGAGTAACTCTCCCTCTCTCGGTAAACATTGTGGGTGCTAATCCTTTTGCGAAATTTAAAATTATGAAATCAAGCGACCGGACCTCCCACTTCATTGAAAGCCGAAAAGCTACTGTCTCTCAGCATATTTGTTCGTTAGTAAACAAACGATTCTGGTACTGACTTTACTGATCATTAGTGAGTTTATGCACAAAACTATGATTGCGTGTAAGGTGTGGTGATTTGCCCATGGGCGGTGTTTTGGGAGAGCTGTTATAGAGATACAGTTGGTATCTCTTCGGAAATCTTCTAGCAGCGTTGTATCACAGTGTGGTAAATTTATACCAAAACATATTGTGAATGATACGACAATAGTACCCCTTTCGATAATTATGAAAATTTTGCCATTTATAAGAAATGTGAATAGAGATCCTGTGACTACTAAATTTCTAGAAAGAGGGCAGTTTGAAAATGGAATTGGAGTTACCTTTTGCTTTCCCTACCCTATAGAAAATACATTCGCGCAAAAATATTTTTTTAGACCCTTTTATTTTCCATTAAAACATCTAAGCCTAATTGTAGAACCATTGCATTCTTACAAAGAACAAGAAACATTTCCACATGATTTATGCAGCGTTTTCGTGTTCCCAAAGTAAGAAGAAGCACCGCAAAAATCCCGTCAACAACACACCCAATCTTTAGCTTTCTATTCAAATTCTACGAACACAAAAAAGAAACCTCTCCCCCAATTACATTCAAACCACTTAGTTTCTGTCAAGAACAAGAAAAACAAATCCTATGATTGGATCCGAAGAATGGAGGAAATTGCCTCGCAATGTTCCATAAAGTGAGTGAGTGAGTACTCAGAGACGTGAAATAGCTACCACACGCCACGGCACACGGGGAGTGTTCCCCCTTTTTACACAGCAGCTTTGTTGCTGTGAAATTGATGCTTAATATTCTGCTTTTGCCAAGAGCTGTGCGAAAGAGTCTTTGGCAATTTCCTTTCTTTTACACTTGGCATGAGATGCTGCGGATGCCAAGAACTGGTCCATGGGACAATGGAAACTGAAAAGAAAACTCCCTTGAGTTTTGTTTGCGTGTGGGTGTTGTTGTTTTTATGTTTCGACCGAGAAGGTTATGATTGTTTTCATGCCAATTCAAATGGTTCGGAAAGATATCCAAAGGAATCTTCAGAACTTGTTCGTTATCTTTTCGTTATCGAAAAGGGAGGCAGCAGCGACAACTTCTCCCGTTTTTATTTCAAAGTTGAATTTAAAATTGTTTATTGCCATGGGACGAGGGCCAAAGAGTTGGGACGTGTTTCTTTGAAATTCCCCGCCCTTTCTCTCTTCCGCTATGGAGTTTTCTTGTCGCTTAACTTGTTCCGTTTCATCCTCAATATTGTTTTGTTTTGCCGTTTGTTTTTATTTGGAAAACGACTTGTGTTTGTGTTGATGTTGTGCCTTTTGCTAAATATAGCCCAGTCATTAAAACACACAACAAATTCCAACAGCTTGTTAGTGGGGAAAAAGCTTTTATTTCCCTCCCTTCACCCATTCCCTTTCTATTTGAAAAAGGAACATCTTTGGTGTTCTTGGAAAAATTAGGGCACAAATCTAATCACCTTTAGCCACTTGTAGTCACGTCGTATCAGATTAGACGATTAAATGTTCTCAACCAGAAACGCGTGTCGGAAGTGATGGCAATTCGTTGCTTTTTGAAAAGAAGTGGAACGAGCTGAGAGAGGGTTTCTAGTCATGTGAGAGAAGAAGTGGACTTATGTTTTGACAATGAAATCAATATTTCCGCAGAGTTCCAGTCACACTGGAGACATATGAGGGGTTGAAACACTGGACACTTTTGTGATTATAATGTTTAACTAAGGTGTACAATTCTCAAAGGCCAGATCTTCTTTTCATTTTCAATTTCTCATTTTTTGTCCCATAGTTTAAATTCATATTGTTTTGATGTTAGAGATATATTAAAAGTTCCGTTACTACTCACCTAAAATCCAAACTTAAATTCCTTTGATGCGTCGATGCCCTTTTGGGTGGATTTGTACCATTTGCTCCGGCCGCACCATTCGGACCACCCGTCGCACTGCCCGGTATACTTAAATTCGGCCGCCCATGTACCGATGGCATCGAATGATTTATGAAACGACTCAAACTTAGGCGGGGCTTCGAGTACCGGCTGTGCTTCGGCGTTGTGGTGGCCGAATTGGCCGGCGTCAGCTGATTCGGAGGCAAGGAGGCCAGACTGCTGCTGCTGTTCGGCATTATGATGGGCAATGTAACGTTGCTGGACTTGAGAAATGCGGGCACATATTCGGAATTCGCCGACGAATTCCTCGTAACCATGGTTGGTGATGGCGGCTGCGAGTAGTCGTTGCTGGAAGAAATGTCGCAGCCGGTGGCAGATGATGAACACGAACTTGGACCGGAATTGAGAAGTGCCAATGAGTTGGTGGAATTGGAAGATACCGAAATGGACGATGACAGTGATAGCGATGGCGATGTACTACTACTCAGACTCAAGTTCAGACTTTTGGCGGGGCTGGGATGTGCCGATGACATCACATGCTGCTGTGTGGAAGTTGACGAAGCGTTTGTTGCCGTCGCGGCGACGGCGGCTGCAGCAGCTGCCGCTGCCGTGGGAGCTATGGGACTGTGGACCACAGTGCTGTTGCTCTGATCACTGGAACTACTGCTGCTAGTTGTGCTTGTACAATTGGCTGTTGAATGCTCCGAAGATTCGTCATCTTCGCCATCCATCAAATGCTGTGTTGGACTGTTGGCCGTACTGTGCTGGCCATTGCTAAGGCCGGCACAGTGGTCTTCCAAGGATTCGTTGCCATTCTCCAAGGAAACGGGGGAAATGTTGGAAGGTAACACTTTGCCGTTATTCATATTACAGTCCGCGGTGCTGTTGCCCGTCTCCAGGGGTGGAGTCAAACGCACCGACTGCATGGGAACATGATCCACCACGTCCACACTAACTGTCGGTGTCATTGGAATGGGTGTAACGGAGGCCGGGCGAAAGTTCAGCATATCTGTCTCCAGCAAATCGTCCGGCATCACCACCGGCGACAGCAGCTTCGTGGCCGTGTCGATTTCCCGGATGTGCCTCAGATACTGATAGCTGTTGTCCTGGGCACTGATGGCGGCCTTCTTCTTCGACGACGAGGTACTCAATGTGCTGGTGATCATGCTCAGGTTGTTGTGTTTGTTGCTGTCATTGGCTCCGCCGCTCACACCGTTCTGGGAGGCCAATGCATTTTGGTTGGTGTTCTTTTTTGGTTTAAATGCAGATATAACGGAATTCATTGTTGACGTAGAGAGAGAGAGTATTTGTTTAGATATAGTGAGTTCAAAGAGAGGGAGAGAGATAGTTCTCTTGTTTTTTTAGTAAATGTTTTGATTTCCTTGGAAAGTTCCTTCTAACAATGCCTTGTGTGTTTCTGATTGATGTTGATGATTGCAGGATGTGATAGACAAATGCTGTAGTCTTGGAAAATTTATGCTGAGTACAGTCGGCGGCTTATGTCAGTAGTGGCGGTAATCACAACCTTATGTTCTAAACTAATTCTCAATGAGTTCAACATTTTTACAAACTACTTTTGAAGGCCCGTATACAGGAGGTTTTCCGTTTCGTTCCGTTTTGTTTTCTCTTTTCAGTTTTCACTCCAAAATCAAGATATTTTGCTGAGAAACTCTCGTGAAGCCATTGCTGCGTTTGGTTAGAATTGCGATTTCGTTTGCACTCTGCAAAGCATTGAATAATCCATTTCCACTGATTAGCGTTTGCAGTAACTCTCTGTAAGAAAAAAAGACAAGACAAGAATGGCAAATTATTATAAAAATAAAATAAATTCAAATAAGTGTTCTAGGAAGTCCGACGATAACACCAAAAGCTTGCCAAAAAACACAAAATGTTGATACATATTCAGAAAATGTGCTAAAATGAGACAACAAAGGCGCCAAGCTACTTGTGTGACCATTGATGACAGTGATTTGACCCAATAGATGGATGGATGGACGGTCCGAGGGTCGGTGGGTCGGTCATCAGACTTCAGGCAGTCAGTCAGTGACGGCATGTTAATCTAAAAATAGAATTTGTTTCATTTTTGATAGATCGATAGAGCAAACGAACAGACCACCAGACAAACGTTGGCTGGCATCTTGTTAAGCCCACATTGTTGATTCGCTAAGAAGCTTATAAAATTTCAGCTATTCTCCGCTGTTCGTTAACTGAAACCATATTGGGTAACAAGATTTGACGTCTCATAGAGCAGAAGCAAACAACCTGTCATTCTAGAGAGGCGGGGTGGGAGGTGGAGAGGCAAAAACATGTGGAGGTGGCATCTTAGACAGCAGCGGTGATTGTTGCTTTTGCTTTTGGTCGAAATCGCATTTGTTTAAGGCTGTGACTCAGTGTCATTGCCTTTCACCGCTCAACTTGTTGTCGTCGTCCATTTCTTGGGGGTCGTGCGACTGCCAAAGCGCAAGTAATGAGCAACTAATTTAATATTGAATCAATTTATTGACAATATCTTCTGTTTAGATTTTGTTTCTGTTGTTGTTTTTGTTCTTTGTTTTGTCATTGCTAGTGGCATGTTATTCTTTTTTGTTGACATACATGATTATTGATGGTTTGTTTGTGTGATTTGGGTTCGATTTTTAGGGGGAATTTTTTCGAAAAAAAAAATTGATGGATAGATAGGCAGTGGGGGAGGATGATAATGGACTATCATTGAGAATATCATGAGTTATCAGGAAATGGTAAGTGAAACGAAATGAAGGTCTAAAGAAAGATAACATCTTCAGAAGCCTAAATAATATTAGTCATTAAATTTATTTCATTACCTCAGGTCCTCCTCCCGAAAATCTTTATTTTTTTGCAAATGAAACTTAAATATTTATTTCAAATAAATCTAATTTTAATTTAAACACGAATGACTTAATTTGTGGAGGAACTAACTGAACGGCGACTCGGTCTGATTTTATTGTAAACACGCGCAGCTATTTTTCTTGCGAATAAAAAAAGTTCAGCAAAACTAACAATTTTCGTAGGTTTTACTAGGCTGGAAAACACGAGCTAGGTGTGTGTGTGTGCGTGTATGTGAATCTTTCCGTGCTTCCGTATATTGTATTCCCATTTTCATCTCTCCCCCCCCTCCCTTGGCGTAAGCAAAATAACATCATCATCAATTAATTTAAGTGCAAATAAAAATCGACAACAAAAATAAAATTGAGCAAACTATTGAACAAAATCGACGCAAGGTTCGTAAAACAGAAGCGAGTCATCTTGGGGGTCGGTTGTTGGGTAATCTCGTTGTGCGAATAACCTTGAAATGGAATAGATTTGAAAGGCACACTCCACCACCCCCAAGCCCACACTCGCTGTGTGATAAAGGGGAAAATTGCCGTTCATTAAATGGAGATTTCACTTCATCCCCGTGGATTTTCCTTGAGAATTGCCAAGCATATTTCCACCGAGCTATCTAGCGTTAAGATGTAAAATTGTTGGCATGCCGAAAAATGCTAAAAGACGAAAAAAAGGTGTGCGTGAGATAGCCCACTGGGAGATGAGATATCCCCGAGATTGGCTGGCAAAAGAATGTTTTTTAGCAGCTTAACCCTACCACAACAAAACCCAATGAATGTGAGAAAATGGAATTCTTCGTTTATCTGCCACACGTGCCGGTGTGCGTTTGCGTTAAGTGGGAATTCTTGAGATTTTTCAGGTTTTTGTTTTTCTTTCTTTGTTCGAGAACGAAGACAAGGCAAGACAATAATTGGAAAGGTAATCAGAGAAGACATGCACAATTATATTTCAACTGCCACCCCAACAAAAACGAGTGATTGGCTGGATAATTCATCTAAAACACATTGGCATTTTTTATACTTTTCCGTAATTAATTCCGAGATAATATTGGGTGCTGATTTTAATAACATATTCACGAATCAGATTAATAACTTCGTGACTCTTCTAACATTCTTTTTAGTTTTATAAAATGCAGCATTGATCCCATAAACTATCTACTTTTAATGGAATGCAATATAATGATAAGACGAAAAAATCAGACCTTTGCAATGTTTTTGAAAAAATCTTTGAAAATACACCTCTTCTAGCTCTGGAAGATCTTGAAAAAATATTTAAAAAAAAATCCAAAATGTTACTTATGTCCATTAATAGCTACATAATTAATGGAGAACAGTAAAATTTTGGATTTTCCAAGATCTTTAAAAATCCTTGAAACTTCACGCCATTGGGCCGGGAAATCTTCAAAAACTCGTAAACGAAAAATCATGCTGGGCCATGGATTTCAAACGTTTTTTTTTTTTTTTTAAATATTCCTTCGGGTTTTGACATATCTTCGAAAAATCGTTTAAAATACACGACATTGCAACTTGGGAGACCTTTGAAAAATCGTGAAATATCCACTCCTTTGGTGTTGGAATATCTTTGAAAAATCGCGATTTTGTGGGAGGTACAGTTATATTAGGGATATACGAAGACGTGGACCTACACAGACAATTTTCTGCCACAGGCTGCAATATTCATTACGAATTTCAAACACTAAATTTGAAACAACTCCGGTGAATAATGTCGCTAAAATCATAAAAATACTAAAAATGGGGGCTACACCAAAACTTGGACCTACATGGCCCATTTTCAATACCAAAAGTCCTGCAGACATTTATATACATTTGAGTACAAATTTATCAACCTATTTCATCTCGTTGGGAAGCTAGAGTGATTTCCTCAGGCGAATAGACGGACGGACATCGCTAAATCGATCTGATCAAGAATATGTATACTTTGTAGGGTCTAAAACGGAATGACAAACATAATATAAATGAATCCTTGGGCCTTAAAAAATCATTCGCAGTCCTTGGAAAGGCACGTATTTGAGCCTTGGTCTTCCAGGTCTTTGGACCATTGAAAAGCCTAAAAAATTTTCGTCTTTGACCCCTGAAAAAGCGGAAACAAATCCATCCCTTTAGGCATGAGAATTTTACATTTTTCAGCCTCTTTTGAGAACCGAGACGTTCTCCGTAGTATTTTGGGGTGTGATAAAGCTTAGAAAACCTTTTTAAGAGGTTCAAGTTAAGAGGCGCCTATGTTAGAAAAGTCCTTAACAAATCTGCGAATTTGGGCCGTAGATCCTATTGAAGTATTTTAGAATTTCTTAAAAATGCCGCCTTTGAACCTTGGAAATAAATAATCTCAAATATCCACTCCTTAGGCCATGGAAGAGCATAAAGAAGTCCTGAAAAAGAAGCAAAACTGGAAAACTTTATAAAACGTCCTCAGTAGAACCTGGAACTCTTTAAAATGCACACGCCTTGTGTTCCTAAAACATCGTAGGACGGTTCAGGACATAAAATTAAATTATTTATCAACATTTATATTTTATATCCTCAAAAAATTCTATTTTTTGGAAGGATTCAAAATGATGATATTCTTAAAATTTGTCATTATTCTACGTCAGGAGAATTGCTAAATTTTCTATAATTACGAGTAAAGTTGGAAAAGTCATGGAATTATAAACAAAATAAGTAAAAAATTCTCTGTCAATAATGTCATACAATAAATATGAATTTAAATATATATTTACTTGGTATATATTTTTACCAATTCGTTGAAAAAAATAAAATAATAGCCAAACTATTATTAATGACCTAAAAATAAAATATCCAATGTGAAAAGCCATAAAAATTAGGACAACAATATTTTTATGGGTTTCTTTCTCGTAACGCATTGCTTGGCATAAGTCAAGGTAAGTTGGTGCGTTGCTTCTGCCTCCCTTCGCCCTCCCTCTCCCTTCACCCTCCATCGACCGAAGGACAATGAACTATTTGGTTTTGTAGACACGGCCGCATAGAAATATTCAAAACAATAAAGACAACGAAGTGTCCTAGTTTCTGAGCCTAAAGACTCTTACTTCCAACCAATTTATTTGTGGCACTTTGTTGTCAGTCGGTGGTGGAGGAGAGGAAAAGCGTGTGGTTGCAGCGTTTTTAGGGGCTTTCCAATCCAACGCCTAACCATGCGCTGATGATGAATTGAATGAGTAGTAGATTTTTTGATTTTGTTTTTTTTTTTTTTTGTTCTAAATAGCCTTTTTGTCTTTCCCTCTCTTTTTTGTGTTTCGTCGTTGTAATTCAGAAGACAAATAGTCCTTGACCTGTTTTTTGGCCTAGCACATTCTTTTTTTCATTTAGCCGTAGTAGAAAACACACACACACCAACAAAGCCATTGCTTTAAATATTTAACTTTAATGGTTAATGACATATCACAATGCCTTGAGCGAGACAACACCCAACGGCCTAGGTCAGTCATGTTTTTGATCTGAATTTCCAACAGAATTTAGTTCAGGGGAAAAAAGCACGCACAAATAAAGAGTGAGTAATATTTTTTTACCTTCGGTAGGTATTGTGTTTACAATCGACAAAACGGCAGCCTAATGACATTCATTAATGAATAAATATTCTAATATTGACATAAAAATGTGTCATTTGGAAACCTGGTACGTTCGAAATTAAGAAAAAAAATTGAAATTATTACTAATTAATTGTATTTATTGCAATATTGCTAAAATTGAATTTTTTCTTAGACCAAGAAAATAAATGAATAAAAGAAATATACAGGGTGAGTTGAAAAAACAGCAACCAACTTCAGGCTGCTGTCATTTCTAAGCCACTCATCCGACAGCTATAAAAATTATTTCAATAACAGTTCATTATATTGTTTTGAAAAAAAAAAACAAAATTTTGGTGAGCATTTTTCAGAAAAAAAGTTCGAGATG